GCTAAACAGAACCAACCAACTCCTGCTCAAGCAAGAAACAGTTCTTTACTTTTCAAACACATCAAAGCAAGGGGCTCTAAGCCTAAGACATCCCACTGACTCTATTGTTTGGTTTATTCTTCTGACCAGGGTCAGAAATAACTTTGCATTTGAATCTTTAATAACCCCTTTTGCAGGCACAGAGGGGCAGTTCAGAGCAGTCAGGGAGATCTGGATTCAAATCCATCTTCCAACACTTAACTCCCTGTGTGACCCTGAGTTTCTTGTACCTCAGGCAATTCTTTAAGCTTCTCTATGGAAGTCAAGGAGGAGTAGTGCCTGTGTTTGTGAAGGGAATCCTCACATTGGGATTTCTCTCCTTCCACTGGTAAAATCATAGAACTTATCCCTTTTCTTCAGACCCTTCAATGAACGCTTCAAATTGGTTCTGGGAACTTGAGGTGGGCCCTTCTGGCCATACATAGAAGGGGCTTATCTATATCTGGGCAGGTTTCTCCATATGGACCATAACACATACACATAGAAGTACACTCAGTCACATTAGACTTTGTTAACAATCAACAGAAAAAAAAAAAGAGGAAAAACAACAATGAAAAAAATGCCACTCCACAGTATTGATCAATAGCTTAATATTTTCAAGGTGCAAAAGAATTCCACAGCCTTAATTATTTCAGTGTCTTGCTGGTCTGCCTTAAGTGTATCTTCTGTTTTATGGTAATTTTTTTTTCTTTTTGTATACATACAATGTCGTTTTGTAAAGGTAGGTTGTAAATATTTTATTTGTAAGTCAGATCCCCCATGTGTCATGGTGTAAAGTGGTGATCTGATATCATGTTTATGATTACAAACAGTCAATGTTACAAGCTGCAAATGAAGCTTCAAAATGTACATCTCATGTGTTACTGCATTCCTATAAATATACTCTACTAAAGATGCTGTTTCTGGTTTTCTTCTGTTTGGTGGCTGATTGGTTGTTGTTTTTTTTTTCCCCTGATTAAAAATATTTGTTTAAAGCAAGGAATCCTACTTTCACCCAAACATGGAGGCAATGTGATTTCCCTGTCCCAAACATACCTCTCTGTACACCACTCACATATAACTCTATCTGTGTATACATATATATTAGAGAGAAAGAGATTGCTTATATATATATATATATATATATATATATATATATATATACACTCTTTCATTCATTCAGTATGCAACATTGGCTCTTGGAGGTTGGCAAAATCAATAATCAAGTATTTCTTAAGTGCCTCCTAGGTACCAGCAATACAAAGACAAAAATGAAATCATCCCTGCTCTGAAGGAGCTTACATTCTACTCAGAGAGACAACACGGATACTATAACTATAAAAGGCTCTGTCCTGGTAGGAAAATCACATCCTTATCAAATGGAGGCAGCATGAGATAGTGGACAGAACACTGGGCATAGAGTCATGGATAGATATGAGGCAGGATTTGGGAGGAAGTGAAGAGAGAACAGATAAAATCACCAGGTCCCAGTAGCAGGGCAGTCACAGAAACCACAAAATTCCGTCCTAAAAGACAGATCACTCCCAAGGACTTTATTGCACATGATTATGTTCAGCTCTGGTGGGAGTACCCTCACATTTGGCTTTCGACTGTTCCCACCCCCACCTCCACCCCCTTTATACCTCCCACAATCCTTCAGTGCCTCATTCCAGGTGAAAATTATGCTTCCCATCAGCTCTCCTGCAGATAAGGAGCTACACTGAGCGGGCATAATCATAATTTGGAAGTGACTCCTTGTCTCCAAGAATAAATGAATACAAATTTAGTCCCAATAACATCATCTCCCAACCTTCCACACACAAAAAAATACATATATATATATATACATATATTTGCTTTGATGAAGCAGGCATGTTTAATTTTTATTTGGGTTATAAGAACAGCACTAGAAGAGATGGACAGGAGAAATGTGAAGAAAAGGCTTAGGGGTACACAATTAAATTAATTTCAATGAAGTGCCTCCACAGCCCAACAATACTAAGTCCTGGGGGAGATGGGAGTCATCAACTCTATTCCATCCAGTAAGATGGAGGGCCACCAGCCTTACCATCTGCCCTGCTTCTAAGTTCTGCAGACCCTCCCCCATTCCTCCATCCCCAAACTGTCATATGACTGAATGACTTAACCTAAGGATCCCTATGTCTTATCACTCATCTTCCTTATAAGGGTGTATGACTTCTGGGCCGTTCCAGAGGCCCCGAGATGAACCTTCTTTTATGAGATATCTCCCCCAGTTAGAGTGAGTTCCTGGAAATCAAAGACTGCTTCCATTTTTCTGTTTGTATCCCCAGCACTTAGCACAGTGCTTGGCACACTGCAAATGCTTCAGTAAGAACTTTTTCATTCCTTCATGGAATGATGGATGGGCTTTGGATTAGAACTGCATTTAGAAAACCTGGGTTTAAATCCTGACTCTGATACTCATTATCCATGTAACTTTTGGGAAAGCCACTTAACATCCCTGAGCAGCAGTTTCCCTTTCTGCAAAAAACACTACTTATCTCACCAGGCTATTGTGAGGAAACTACATTGTAAAGGTAAATCGATATTTAAATGTGAGTTTTTATTATCATTCTCACCCCTCCAGACCTTAGTATAACAAAGCTATCCACTACATATAACATCAAGGTGTCTTTGTATGGATCGAAGAGAAGCAGAGTAGACATCTTGAGACTGTCCTCCACACGTAGCATGGTGTACTTCAATGTATGGCTTGAAAGGAAGCAGTACAGATGCCTCTAGCCTCTTCTCTAGCCACCCTTCTCCAAGGGAGACTTTTATTTCCTTCCAGGAGGGGAAGCAGGAGGGCAGAGACTACCACTCTGCTCCTGGGGATATGGTGGGGGAGAGGAAAGAGGCTGCACCAGGCTAGAATTATATCTGTCTGCTCCCTTAAATACTCTTAGTTTGGAGGATATGATTTTCAAGTTCAAACTAAACTTCTGACAGATATTCCATAATAAGGAAATGAGCACTCTCTCAAGCTCTATATCCAAGGTCTACCTCTCTTCCCACTAAATACCAGTTCAACAATGAACAAAGTAGCAAAGAAATCAATTTGTCCAAGTCAATAGCAAAACAGAGATCAGAAAAAGTATACATAGGAGAATATATACCAGAGAATACAGAGTGAAAGAGTTCTCCCATTGGGAGCAAGGTAACTGCTCAACCAAAGGAATCCTAGAGGTTACCCAAAGGGGAAATGCCCTGAAGTCTCTAGTGTAGCAAGATGAAGTTAGGGACAGGATGGAGACTGCAGGTTTCTCTCATGTTGGCTTCTTCCCAGAGTCTTATTCTCCCTTCAGCAAACTCAAGGAGGGTTGGCATCATCCATCTTCTTCCCTGAAGCTACTGGAGAGCCCCGAGCAACTCAAAAGCTCACAGAGACTGAAGGGACCTAAAGAAAGTCAAGGGATTGAATCTTTCCACTCTCTCCCCTCCAAGTCCACCCCTCCCCTCATGTAAGAGTCGGGCACTGATCTTTACCAATGAGGAGAGAGTCCCACACTAATGTGCTTTGGCACTTGGGTTACATTTGATTCCAAGTAAGTGCCAATTTGAAAACTGAAGCCCAAGGAAGGTGATTTGGAAAAAGTCATTAACTCAATTTCATTCAACAAACATTTAATAAGCATCTACTATGTGCCAGGCACTGTGATAAGTGCTGAGGCTAGAAAAAAGAGGCAGAAGACAGTTCCTGCCCTCAAGGAGCTCACAATCAGAGGGAGATAACATGCAAACAAAAACACAAGCTATATACAGGATAAATAGGAAGTAATTGACAGAGGTAAAGTCCTGGAGTTAAGAGGGGCTGGGGAATGTTTCCTATAGAAAATGGGATTTTAGATGGGACTTTAAAAGCAGAGAGGGCAGTATCAATCACCCAGGTTGTCTTGGACTGGAAATTTGTTTCACTCTGTCTTTTTGTGGGTTCTGCTGCTCTAGAATTTGCTTAGAGGCATTTTTTACAGGTATTTGGAAGGGTTTGGGGGAGAGCTCAAGCAAGTCATTGCTTTTACTCCACCATCTTGGCTCCACCCCTGAGGACAGTAGTCTGAGTGGAGGGGCATTCCAGTCCAGAAGAAGAACTCAGATACAAACATCTCAATTTCAAAGTCGATGCTCTAATTGCTTGTTTCTCAATGAGGGTGGGTTGGGGAAGGAGAAAGGGAGAGAATTTGGAACTCAAGAATTTTAAAAACGAATGTTAAAAATCGTTTTTACATGGAACTGGGGAAAAGATAAAATATTAAACAAAGCTCTATTAGCTAGCTATAAGCATTTATTAAGCACCAACTATTTGCCTGGCACAGGTGCTGCATATAAAAAATGAAACAGTCCTTGCCCTCAAGGGGCTTACATCCTTTTGAAATGGGATGAAGGCAGGAAGTACATGACTGATTCAAATCCCACCTGACCTCTTAGGTGTAATATTGTATAAGTCACTTTATCTCTGTTCCTAGAGAAAGAAATGCAAAGGAATTTCGGGGAAGAGTCACTAACAGTTGGGGAAATATGGAAAGGCAGCTTTCTGGAAGATACATTTTTTTTTGGAAGAGCCCCCCCCCCCCCCAAAAAAGACCCTCTCTCCCCCTTGGAGGAGATACCTTTCCTTTTTGCTGGAGGAGATATTTTGGTTTTGTTTGTTTTCTGGAGATGCTTTTTTTTTTTTAACCTGGAAATGCTTTTTTGCCTCCTAGAGTTGATACTTTTAAGTACTGAAGCGTTTTAAGCAGGAAGGAGAGAATTCCAGGCCTGAGGGCCGAGTCTTGTGCAAAGGCAGAGATAAATGGAAAGTGAAAATGAAGCTCCAAAGTGCCAGTTTCCTTCCCACGCACTCGCAAAGCGCTCCAACGAGAAAGTGCCAGCTACCGGGACTCTCTCGGGACACGCCCTCCAGGCCAGCCGCGCCTGCGCACCAGGCGGCCGGGGGGGGCGGGGCCTCGGCGGCTGACGTTTCGGGACTCGCAGGACTCGCGCCGTGCGGCGGTTGAAAGCGAGGCTTTGGGGTCATGGCGGCATCGTCGGTGGAGGAGCTGACGCCCTTGGTGACGGCGTTGTATGAAGCACAGGCGTTCAAATTCGGAAACTTCGTGCTCAAGAGCGGGCTCTCGTCCCCGGTCTACGTGGACCTGCGTGGCATCATCTCCAGACCGCGGCTCCTCAAACAGGTGGGAAGCGGCAGGCCGGGCCTGGAGGGTGTCGCTGTGCGCGCATCGCTCGTGCCCGGAGGGCGCCCTTTGACCTCTTCTCCCCCCCCCCGCCGCCTCCCTAGGCACGTGGTTCTGCACTTTTATTTTTCCTCTCCGATCTCGGATTTTAAAAGTTTTCCGGGAGGAAATTCCCTTTTTCCTGTGTAGATCGGCGTCCGTTTCTCCATCGACTACGTAGGGAGGATTCTTGTTCTGCGAGGTTAGACGAGTTGTCCGGGGTCACGGACGCCGCGCTTGAACCCACGTGTCCCTGGGTCCTAAGCATTCTCTCCTGATACGCTTGGGGATCGTTGTAGTGATGGCCTGTGATAGCTCATGCTGCCCATGTTGTCCAGTCGTGTCCTACCCGTCGTGACCCCGTGGACCATGCTGTCCGTTGGATTTTCTTGGCACAGATCCTGGAGTGGTTTTCCATTTCTTTCCCCAGTGGATTACGGTAAAGAGAGGTTAAGTTACTTGCCCAGGGTCACACAGTTGTAAATGTATGAGGCCTGATTTGAACTCAGGTGTTTCTGACTCCAGGCCCAGCCCTATCCACTGAGCCATGGAGGGTTATGTAAACATTTATATGTCAATTTAGTAATAATAATAATAATAGCTAAGGTTAGGTTTACAGTGCATTTACAAATATTATAATATATAAAATAATAATAGCACCTATTTTTCAGGGTTGTTGTGAGGATCAAATAAGATAATAACTGTAAAGCACTTAGCAGAATGCCTGGCACATAGTCAACTCTATAATAGCTATTGTTCTTGTTACTATCTTGTTTGATCCTCGGACCTGGAAGGTAGGTACTATTAAAATCCCCATTTTGCAAATGAGGAAACTGAGACAGGCAGAGGTTGTGACTTGCCCAGAGTTAGGAAGCTGGTTAAGGGACTGAGCCCAAGTATTCCTGACTCCAGGTCCAGCTGCTCTATCCACTGGCTAGTGTAGCTGCCTGTTATTAATCAGTCTATTATTAATAAGTGTTTAGGGTTCAAGAGGGTAGAAATTGCATTGTCCTAAGCAGCAGTGCCCTTTCCTGGGCGTTGTGGTGTAGAGAGGAGAGTTCTGAACTGGGACTCAAGAGGCCTGGCTTCTAGTTATTTGCTCTATAGTTAATTATGAACTCATGCCTGCTATTATGGGGCAAAGCGCACATTCTTGCATAGCTTCATGGGGGGGGATCTATACTTTTTATTTTTTCTTAGGCATGCTATGTTGAAAGTGCATATTTTTAAGTTGTAAAAGTGACAAGCTAGGAAACTGGATATATTCAAGTGAATTTATCATTACAATTAGAAAAGCAGCTGGTAATCGAGTGTCTTTGAACTTGATTGTTCTCTTGTGCAGAAGACAGAACAGTATAATTGTAGTCTTTAATTTTATAATTTAGAGGTTTGTATATGCAGATTTATTTCTACAAACAGGTATGGCAGAATAGTAGTCCTTTCTACATTCTTGAAACTGCCCTTTGATTTAGAACTCTTAATTTTGGCTTTAAGGAGTCAGGATGCATGATTTCATTGGTGTGGAACATTTCTTCTGTGGAAATTCATTCCAGCAGGTCAGATTGATGAAGTGATACTTGGCTAATTTTTAGAATCAGGATTAGGATCAGGTGACCCAGGTTGCAGTTATGGTTCAGTTATAAGCAGTATTTATTGCTGTTTGTCCTTTGGCAAGTTATTTAACCTCTCCAAGTTTGTTTCCTTATCTGAACAATGAAGGAGTTGGACTAAATGACTCCTAAAGCACCCTTCCAACTGGAAACTTACATGTTCCTTGATCTTAAAGTTATTATTATTATTATTATTATTATAAAGTTTGGGGTGGGTTTGGCAGAAGTCCTTGGGAAATTGGATAAAGAAAAAATCTTCCATTTCCTCATCTTCCACACACACACACCCCCCCCACTGCATCCAACCCAAGGTTTTCTTATGTCTTAAGACTGGTCTTATTTAACATCTTTTTAAATTATATGGGGGAACTACCGAACTATTATCCAGAGTTGAAATTTGCATATGACAATAAACACTTCTAAGCAATGAAAGTGTCAAGGGTGAAGAATAATTATTTTGGGTTTTATACAATGTATCATTTACAAAACATTTAATATGTTTTATCCTCTAAAAATAAGAACTCATGAGGCTACAAGATGAGGTAGAAAAATTATAAATGGGTTAGAAATGGTGGATATGGAACATTCAGATAGAAGTAATTCAATCTCTGCTGTAGGATAATGTTCTTCATTGTTAGGACTAGGGTTCCAGAGGGTCACTGAAGACTTCCCCAAAGATTGTATTTAGCCCATCGTACTTTCCTTTCCAAAAACAAAAATCCAAACATCATCATTAAGAAAGGAAGCCAAACAGTAAAAATTAAATCTTTATTGTGTACCCCCTTTGTGAATTACCTTTCCAGGCTTCTTATATATTACCATACCTTCACACTGTGGTGGTTAAAATAATTTTGAGAGACATAGCTTCTGGGTAATTTATTAATAAAGCCAGCACATTATTCATTAAAAAGAATGGTTATTTGACTGTCTCTTAGACCAAAGACCCTTTATGTTGGTGGGCTCACAGTTTACACGCCTTTTGAAGAGTACGTATTCCCAAGGGGTGCCAAACAACTTTGACTGAATAACACAATGGGAGGGGGGCTATCTTGGGGTAAGTTACTTAGGTCCACCAAATCTTGGTCAAAGAGACAATCAATTTCCATATCACCTGTCTTGAAAGAAAGGGAGAATCAACATTTTCCCCTGACCTATCTGAGCATACACAGTGAGCACGAATATACCCATTAGCCCAAACTTAGAATTTCTTTTACTGTCTGATTAGATCTTAGCCCAGGTAATTCTTTAAGAGAGATTTCCTACACTGGTTGGTTTCTGGATGAGGAAGTAGAAAAGGGAAAAAAACTTTGGTCCCAATACAATAATTAGTTATTAAATACATTTCTCACATTACATTCAGTGAACTAGTCACACTGGCTTTGGTACCATTCCTTCCATGCAGCATGTCTTTGCATATGCAAGTCCCCTGTATCAGGAATTAAGAATTCCATTTTTCATCCTACTGCTTACTAGCTGTGTGACCTTGGGCAAGTCATTTGATTTAAATAGAATGAATGCATTGGACAAAATGAAGTCTCAGGTCTATTCCAGCTCTCAAATTATTTTATTCCTGTCTTAGCTGAACAAAGACCATTATAAACTCTATAGAAATTGAGATTCTTCAGTCTAGAGAGACAAAAGCTAAAAGAGATGAGCTTCAAATCTGTAAAATCGTGAAAGGTATAGATGTGGTAACAGACTTGAATATATCATAATGATGTAATCATGATTATCTAGTGTATGTTTTCTTCCAGGTTGCAGATATCTTGTTTGAAACTGCTCAAAATGCAGGGATCAGTTTTGACTCCGTGTGTGGTGTGCCCTATACAGCTTTGCCTTTGGCAACAATCATCTGCTCAACCAACCAAATTCCGATGCTCATTCGAAGGAAGGAGGCAAAAGATTATGGTAAAAATTAGCATCATCATAATAGCCAACATTTATATAGCACCAACTAGGTGCCAGGTACTATGCTGAGTGCTTTACAATTATTATTTTATGCATGAACATAAAATTTCAAGTTTGGGCTAATTCATACTAATTGTTTTTTTAGTTGTAAGTACCGTACTTAGCACCTAATAAGTGTTTAATAAGTGTTTGTCAAAACATGTTGAGTTTTTTTTTGTTTTTGGCCAAGTTATATTACTCCATGGGACATACAAATTATTTTCTTACATTGGAGTTTATTTTGAATGCATTGCTGCAAATTATATTACTATTCTGTAAGATTTTATGATGACGTAGTGATTTAGCAGGAGAAAATAAATGCTTTGAATGGCTTGAAGAAAGAAGGAAAGTGTCTTGTACAAAATCTATCAACCCATCACGTTTTCACTAGGCTTTCCTTCATTCTAGCTAAATTTGTTTTGAGATTTAAGAATGGAAAATGTCTTCTCTATCCCTAATGAGGATCAATATAGCAGTATGGTCTACTGTTCTTTTTTTGTTTAGCTATTAGCAAATAATATTGTAAAGCAACATAAACTCCACGTGGTAAAGAATTCTCTTTTCAGACTCATAAGCCCCAGTGTTTAGGAATCTGGACTTGTGGTCAGCCTACATTGGTCCAAAGTACTGATCTACGGGTGTCCATTCCATCCTAGCACTGTACTAGGTATTGTTGTTTTAGTGTTACCAGTAAATTAATCTCTCTGAGCCTCAGGTTTTTACTAATCTGCAAACTGAGGATGATATTATTGTTACTGTATACCTTAAGTTTTTAACAAGAGATGAGAGCTATATAATGTTAGTATTGTTATGTCTAATGATAAGATAATTGCTCCTCATAATGAGACAAGGACTTGTTATTTAACATTTACCCATAATTTCCTTGATTGTATCACTTGAATCACATCTTTCTAATTAAATATCTATAGTAATAAATGTCAGATGTGCTGAAAAGAACCTGTAGACACTTGCTCCAAAGCAGAATGTTTGGGATGATCTTGCTGGGTAGTTGAAGCTAATTCACAAAGATGGGAAGAATAGAGAAAGAAAAGAATGCATCCTGCTGACATTCCACTCTTAACAATGAAATGAGGGGAAAGGAGGGAGGCAGAGAAATTCAACAAAAGTGTTAGTCACCATTTCCTATTAAATGAAAATAAAATAATTCAGAAACAGTAGGAATCTGTTCAGCCTTCGCTAAGGTGTATTTCTTATGAACGAAACAAGGTAGACCTTTATTGGAGCTGGCAAGCCATAGTCTGTATTTTTAATCAAAGCCAAGAGAGTCTTTTTTTCTTTTCAAGGTACTAAACGTCTCGTAGAAGGAGCTATTAATCCAGGAGAAACCTGTTTGATCATTGAGGATGTAGTGACCAGTGGTTCTAGTGTTTGGGAAACTGTTGAGGTCCTTAAGAGGGAAGGTTTGAAAGTCACAGATGCCATCGTGCTGCTAGACAGAGAGCAGGGAGGCAAAGCCAAGTTGCAAGAGTGGGGTATTCGCTTACATTCGGTGTGTACCTTGTCAAAGATCCTGGAGATTCTTGAACAGCAAAAAAAGATTGATGCTGAGATGGTTGGGAAAGTGAAGAAGTTTATTCAAGACAACACCTTTGTAGTCACTGAGCAGAAGGGTACCGTACCTGTAAAGAAAACTCCCAAAGAACTTAGCTTTGGCATGCGCGCCCAGCTCCCTGGAACCCATCCTACTGCATCAAAACTTCTCAGGCTTATGGAAAAGAAGCAGACCAACTTGTGTCTTTCTGCTGATGTTACTGAGGCCAAAGAGCTGTTGCAGCTGGCAGCCACTCTCGGTCCCTGCATCTGTATGCTCAAGACCCATGTAGATATTCTGAATGACTTCAGTCTGGAGATCATGGAGGAGTTGAAAACTCTAGCAGAAGTCCATAAGTTCTTAATATTTGAAGACCGAAAATTTGCTGATATAGGAAACACAGTGAAAAAACAATATGAAGGTAAGAATTGTATTCCTTTTAAAAAATTTATGAACATTTATTCTCTTCCCTGCTGCTTCCTTTCCCCTAGTGAACAATTTTTTAAAAAAGAAAACGTTGGCCATGTCTAAAACTTCTGTGTCTCTTTCAGCATTTTATGTCCGTCACCTCTCTGGCAGGAGGGGAGTGGCATGTTTTGTTTTAGACCTCTGTGCTCTGGATTAATCATTAGATTGATCAGAGTTTTAAGGTTCTTCCAAGTGGTGTTTTTTTAACAATGTTGTGGTCTTTGTATAACTTGTTCTTCTAGTTCTTTTCACTTCACTCCATCAGTCCATAAAGATCTTTCAAATTTCCTCTGAAATTGTCCATTTTGTCATTCCTTTGCTACAGAATTGTTTAGTTCTTCCCCAATTCTGGACATCCTCTTAGCTTATAGTTTTTGGCTAATGGAAGATGCATGTGGGTCTTTTTTCTCTTTCTATGATTTTTTTGGTACACACACCCATATCCGCACACATGCTTACTTGTGGTATAGTTGGGTTAAAAAAGTATTCTCAATTTAGGAACTTTTTTTTTTAAGCCTTGTTCCAAATTGCTTTCCGGAATGGTTAGACCAATTTACAGCTCCATCAACAGCACAATATTGCACCTGTTTTCCTGCAACCCCCTCCAAAATTTATCATTTTCCTTTTCTGTCATTTTTGCTAATTTGATGGATGTGAGGTAGAACATCAGAGATACTTTAATTTATATTTAATGTGTTATTAGTGAGCTGGAGCTTTTTTTTTAAATGTGGTGGTTTGATAGCTTGGATTCCTTTTTTTAATTTTTGAAAACTACCTATTCAAATTCATTGACCATTTATTTACTGGGAAATAGGTTAGTCTTATAAATTTGAATAATTTCCTTATATCTTGGATATGAGACCTTTGTCAGAGAAATTTGATGCAAAGATTTTTTTTTCCCAGTTAGCTGTTTCCACTTTAATTTTAACTGCATTACATTTGTGTAAAAACTTGAATTTTATTTAATCAAAAGCACGCATTTTATCTTGTGTGATCTTCTTTCTCATTTGGTTTTAAATTCTTTCTGCATCCATAGATCTGAAAGGTAATTTCTTCTCTAATTTGCTTATGATTGCCACATTTTATGTCTAAATTGTGTATCTATTCAGAGTTTTTCTTGGTTATATGGTGTGAGGTGTTGATCTAGATATAATTTCTGTCAAACTGCTTTAGAACCTCACCCTCCCCTTCTGACTGTCTTCACGTTTTTTTCATTATTACTCTTAAGATTCTTGGTCTTTTGTTCTTCCAGATAAATTTTGTTATTATTTTTTCCAGCTTTATAAAGTAATCTTTTGGGTAGTTTGATTGGCGCGGTACTGAATAGGTTGATTAATTTAGGTAGTGTTGTCATTTTTATTATATTGACTCAGCCAACCCTTGAGCAATTAATATTTCTCTCATTATTTTGGTCTGTTAACATTTCTGCAAAGAGTGTATTGTTGGCTTTATATAGTTCCCAGGTGTGTCTTAGTAGATGTCTACCAAATATTTTATACCTAAAGTTATACCTATAATATTTTGTACCTGTAATTATTTTGAATGGAATTTGTCTTTCTAGCTTTTCCTCCTGGGTGAGAATTGAATTCCAAAAGAGACACGCTTATGGTATTCTTTTTTGGATTTTTCAGGAGAGCAGAGTTTTTATACTGAAGTAGTTTTCCATGTCCCTAGAATTGTTGTGTTTACCATCACATGCCAAGTTAAAAGTTACCTTTAGTATCATTATTATTATTATTATTAATTTATTTTGATTTATCAACAATTACTTCCATAAGCTTTTGAGTTTTAAATTTTTCTCCCCCTCCCTCCCTACCTCTCTCCCCAAAATGGCGCACAATCTGATATAGGCTTTACATGTACATTCCTATTAAACATATTTTCACATTAGTGATGTAGTAAGTAAGAATTAGAACTAGTAGGAGGAACCACCAGAAAGAGGAAACAAAACACAACAGAAGAAAAAAAGTAGCAAATAGTATGCTTCGATCTGCATTCAAACTCCATAGTTCTTTCTTTGGATGTGGATAGCATTTTCCATCATGTGGCTTTTGGAGATGTCTTAGATCCTTGTATTGCTGAGAGGAGTTAAGTCTATCAATATTAGTCATCGCACAACATGGTTGTTACTGTGTGCAACGTTCTCCTGGTTCTGCTCACTTCCCTCAGCATCAAACCATAAAAGCCTTTCCAGGTTTTTCTGAAGTCAGCCTGTTCATCATTTCTTATAGCACAATGGTATTGCATTACATTCATGTATCACATTCACAGTTGTGATTACTATCTGTCTTTCTCTTCATCCTTCTTCCCCCCCCACCTCCCCCCGTTTATGCTTTTCTTTCTTTCTCCTTTTCCCTCCTCACTAATATTTTGCTTTTGACCACTGCCTCCCTCAGTCCCACCCTTCTATTAGCCCCCACCCTTTTCTTTCCCTTTACCCTTACTACTTTTTCCCTCCCTTCTATCTCCTCTCCCTTTTTAAAAGTTGACTTTTCAAAAATGTGACTTAATAGAGCGTTACCCAGTGGGTCTCGGGAGAGTCAGGAGCAGTAGAGGTCAGATCTGTCTTTAGATGCTTACTAGCTGACTAATGTGACCCTGGCCAAGTCACTTAACCTATCTGCCTCAGTTTCTTCTGTTATAAGATGGGGACAATAATAACCCCTGGTTTTGCAAGGATCAAATGAGGTAATATTTAAACAGAAATGTCTCACTTGTTTCCAGTTGAGAAAGTGGTGTCACCATACACTGCTCATCTTTGAAATAGAACCCACCTGACCCCCTCCACAGATTTTATGACTCCGCTCTCTAAATATGTTTTCAATCTTTTAAAAAACATTTAATGACTAGAGCATTTTCCTGACTTTGGGGGGTGTGAGGTAGGAAGTGGGAAAACAGTTGGAGAGAATATGAAGCTTTGGAAATTGAGTGGAGGCTCTCATTGAGATAAGAGCTGAGGCTTGGAAGTACCAAATCTTTTAAGATAGTTGTCAAGCTTAAGAGGTAGTAGTAAAGTTTTGACATACAAAAAAAATTACAGTTTATTCTTTTTGATGACATTTTAGACGATTGGTGTCTGAAGGCTTTAAAAGTAATGAAAAACAATACTCCATCCTAAGCCTTGTTGAATTCTCTTCATCAGCTTCAAAAGCTGCTATAGCATTTACTGGAAACAGTTCTTCCAATCTCCTAAAACCCCCATTTGCATGCCTTAAGCTACATTTATGATTTTACTTGAGGGTCTTACATGTCTACATTTATTTTCAACTTATTTCTGCTGTAGGAAAAAAAATAGTATTGTTGACATTGTAAGCTTCAGCATATAAGGAAGATCAAGTTCAGTCCATGTTAATGAAAAACAGTTGCAAAACTGAGCCTGACTTTTTATGATCTTTAAACCAGTTACCCTGGTGGAAGTGTTAGCTTTTCAGTGACACCTTTAATGTGGAGATCTGGGTGCAATTAAATTTACAACAGCTGAAAACTCTTAGGAGTATCTGGATACTGAAGTGTTACTACAAAATTTCACATTTCTGTAGTTGTCTCTTGCTTGAACAAGTTTCAGTTGAGAGTAATCCTATCACTTTCTCTTAGGTGGTGTTTTCAAAATAGCTTCCTGGGCAGATATAGTAAATGCCCATGTAGTGCCAGGCTCAGGAGTTGTGAAAGGCCTGAGTGAAGTGGGGATGCCAATGCACCGAGGCTGCCTCCTGATTGCAGAAATGAGCTCCTCTGGATCTTTGGCCACGGGTGACTACACAAAAGCAGCTGTAAGTGAGAGCTTTGTAGACTGCTAGAGTTGGGTGGGAGAGAGGAAACAAAACAAGGTTTGCCCTACTATCTGCACACAGACCAAATCTTAGGAACACTTTTTAGGTATTTTGTGAACTCATGTAATTACTTATTACATCCACTTTCGGATGACTTGCCCAAGATTGCATAATGGGTAAGATCAGGAGACAGCATGACATAGTGGAAAGAAAGTCCTGGACTTGGAGTGAGGAAAGTCTGGGTGTAGAGGCTGCCTCTACCTCTTGCAGTTCTGGAACCACATTGGAAGTCACTTACCTACTAAACCTCAGTTTCTTCATCTGTAAAATAGAGATGATATCTGAAGTAAAATACTTCATGGAGATTTTGTGAGGCTCAAATGAGGTGAGTATAAAGGATTTTGCAAATCTTAAAATACTGTATAAATAGAAGTTATTGCTATTGTCACTAGAGACCCCTCATGATCACTTTTCTTTTTGTCTTGTCCTATTTAGATGCTAAACAATTCTTCAGAAGTATCCCTTAAGCCCTAGAAATTAAGGAAGAATTTACTGAACCTATAATAACCATAGTTTTACATTTATTGGACTTTTAAAGGTTTTTAAAGAACTTTAAATACATTATCTCATTTGAGCCTCACAGTAACTCTGAGATAGGTGCTGTCATTATCCTTGCTTCACAGATGAGTAAATTAAGGTTCACAGGGGTTAAATTACATGCTTCTGGTTACATGGTTAGTAAATGGAGAATGATTCAAACATAGTCTTTCCTGTCTCCAAGCACAGGATACACTATTTTACACTTCCTTTAATATGTATGTATAGTTTGCCTAGTTTCTCTGAGAATCAAGTTAGCCAACAGTTGTCAATACTACCATTCTAGCCACCTGACAAAAAGAACCAAACTTTACCATTGATGTGATTTTTTTTTTCAAAATCTTAATACTAAATTTATTTAATGCATTGAATAATTTGACATTGTTACCAAATTTCTATATAAATCCTAATCCATCCTTCAAGTATAAATGTTCCAGTCTTTGGAGAGTCCTTCAAATATGTGTCCAGAGTTTCTCTCCCACATGATTCATTTGAATCAGTAGTTTTCACTGTTGGTTCTGGGAAAGCATTTTTTTTCTTACAGAGTTTTCCTACCTTGTAGTATTTTAGACCTTTCAAAGAATATAATATTACTTTCAGTCATAGAATTAACAAATTCATATTAACACTTGATTTTTTTAGGGGTCAGATGTGAAACTTAGTTTACATGTAGCTCTGGGTTTTCTGGTTGGCTATCCTTCAGTTATACCATAAATCTTGGCATGCCCTGTCACACCAGTATATATAGTATCCAGATTTTAAGTGACTATTGCTGGATGTTAGAATTCTTAGTGTTTTGAGGCCATGTTTCACAGAGTCATAGTTAGGACTGAAGTGAAAGAAGGCTGTAGACCAGACCTGCACAACTTGGCAATAGGTAGGGGCCGAAATTAAAATAGGCCAAACTTCTGGCTGTAGACAGGTTAGACTAGAGACTGACGATGGTTGGTTGCCAGAGGTCACGTGACAGACAGGAGAGTGTGCAATGGCAACCCTACATTTTTCACTGACCGCCCGAAATCCTTTGGTGGGCCACAAGCAGCACATGGGTCTTAGGTTGTACAGGCCTGCTGTAGACCCAGATCTAAGATGAAGTGTTTCACACACAGTAATTTACATAATTGCAGTATGAAATGAAATCTATAAAGTAATGAGGTTTGAGACCAGAAAATATGTTGTTTCCCTAAGTAAATGTCCTGTGTAGTTAAACATATTTTGTCTCTTATGTTCCACCAGGTGAAAATGGCTGAGGAACAATCGGAGTTTGTAATCGGTTTTATTTCTGGTTCAAGAGTGAGCCAGAAACCAGAATTTGTTCACTTGACTCCAGGTATCCAAATACAAGCTGGAGGTAAATACAGTCATAGATCATGTTGTCTCTTTATACTTGTTAGTCCAGTAAACTATCATTTTTATCCAATAATTCACATGGTAATTTGAGATTGGTTTATTAGGTCTGTATTAAACTAGTTTGAAATGAAGTATTTTAGATTAGTAAATGCTTGTGAAATTTATAATGGGAAGGCTTAGCTCAGAAGCTTATCCTAACATCCCTACAGCCTTTCCCTCGAGGGTTTGAGGATTGTGTATGTTGAAGGGAAGGGATAGGAAATAGAGTTGGCAAACTGTGGCAGTGGTATTGATATTGACCAATGTGCTTTCTGTTTGGGATGCTCAGGTCATTCTAGCCATTTAAAATGAGCACTCAGGATATCTGCCAGTGGGACTCAGTACTTGAAGAGTGGAGGATTCTCATTTTATATACATAAATACAAATGTGAACAAACATTTCTAAGGTTTGTTTGATTCAAAAAATTATACAGCCCAAGTGCTTCAGCCTAGAAAAAAAGGTCCAGAAAGAAGATTTTAATGAGGGTGGAAGCACACATTTTAAAAAGATGGGTATTCTTCAGTCTGGAAAGTCAGATATTTATACTTTTTAGATGGTTCTAATACTCATGGATGTGAATATTTCTTCCATGGGGGTGTATATCTTGCAGCCTATTTGTGCCATCCTCAAGAGGATCCTCCAGTGGAGGTCTTTTTTACATTTTAAGGGTACAAATGGGCTTATTCACAACAGCCCATAAAACCAGAGTTGAGTAAATGAGAGTTCTTCATCAAATCTTAGAATTATTGGGGGAGGAGTGAATTCCAAGAAGTGTGAAGGAGAAAGTTTCAGATATAATAATATGGCAGCACTACTTAATAACTACACAGTAAATGAGTGATAGGGAATTTTACCCTGAGAGATTGTATGGGTAATCTAAATATAGGAATATTGCATAGGAAATCTAAATAAGTTCATGAATAAGTTTATACAAATTCATTGTAAAACAGAAAGTCTAGCTTTTGTGCCACCCCGCCCTCATAGATTGCAAAGTGAACCTCAGAAGGATTAGCTGAATGTCCTGCCTAAGTAATGGTTATCTTAGCATTTGATGGCTTTTTTTTTTTAAAGCCTCAAAGTGATTAATATTTTAAAAGACTTCTCTGCAAATTTCCTTAGCCAGATGCTGCATCTGATCAGACCAAGTGGTGGAATCAACTTTTGTTCAAGAGCCCACAGTGCCTTGCGCAGGGTTCATTCTGTCATTGTGAATCAGGGTCTGCCTACGCTGACAAATTCTCATTTTGTATGTGTGCATGTTCGCATGTGTTCATGTATGTTTATTTGAAAAGGTAGTGAATACCATGGAGATTGTGACTTCTCTCTTTGAGTCAAGTCTCTACCCTTTTTTTTTTTTTTTTTTTAGTTTTTTGCTCATTTGTAAAATCAAAGGGCTTATGTTAGATGCACTCTAAGCCCCTTAATTCTTGCTTATTAATGATTTATGGCACATATAAGGAATACTGGGAATATTTGAAAAATTTGCATACAGGACACCTTAAGAAAAGCAGAAAATAAAATAAAAAGAGATAAAACTATTCAACATGTTTCCCTTTGTAAAAAGAAAATGTTACATAACATAATATGCATATAAGAGGTTTGTTCTTTGTTGTTTGTATTAGTCCAAATATAAGCTGCACTCTGTCCCAAAATCTGGCTTCTATAAAATCTGGAAAGTATATAGTATAGGGTCAATTTCTCTGAATACCTATATATTTCTCTCTTCCTCCCCCCTGTCCTTTTCAGAGAGGTTTCGTTTTGTTTTCAGTCAGGCAAAGTATATAGTACAGCATAGTATATAAGAGAATGGGATTCGAAAAGGTAAGACTAGGTTTTAGCATTTTAGTTAAAGCTGCTATAAGTGTCTCTGTGAGATAGTAAACATGAAAGATGCTGTTACACAAATGGTCATTTTAGCTCTTGTCATAAGAAGATGAATAAATAGTATCCTTATTTTTTCCCCCCCACAGGGGATAATCTTGGCCAGCAGTATAACAGCCCACAAGAAGCTATTGGCAAACGAGGTTCTGACATCATCATTGTGGGCCGTGGCATATTAACAGCCTCCAATCACCTAGGAGCGGCTGAAATGTACAGAAAAGCTGCCTGGGAAGCCTACTTGACTAGACTTGGTGTTTGAGTCTCTCAAAAATACTTTTTTATTTCTTAAAACATTTCTACTCAAATTCTTTGATCTCACATTTGACCATACCACAAAATCAGAGTTGCAAAAACTGGCAAAGCTTCTAGGCACTTAAGTGTTTAATAACTCTGAGATGCTCCACAGTAATAAATGCTTTCTAAAACATGGATTTCTTGTGACTGACAATTTCTGGGGCAGCCGCAGAATCTGTTCCACCTTCCTTTTATTAACAGAGAAGTTATCTCCCTAAATATAAGAGCCTAATATATCTCCCTAATATAATGATTATCTCCCTAAATATAAATAAAAGAGCCAAGTCATAAAGCTTAGATTGTCATTATAACTCTTTTATACATGAATATTTGTATTTTTATAGAAGAGGTTCCCCTTTATTCCCTGTAAAAGACATTAATGTTTTGTTGACGCTTTTTTTTTTTTTTTACATCAAGGACACTTCTCATTCACCTCCCTTGTCATAAAGAATTATAGTTAAGCAAAACAGACTCCACTTACCATTTCACATGTCAATGCTGCCATTCACTACTAAGAAAAAAGAGGTATCTTTAACTTTCAGTCTTTTGGAGTCAGAATTGATCGTTTTATTGAGCAGAGTTTTAATGCCTTTCGTTATTTTACTTCACATTAATATCATTATATAAATTGTGCTTTTTGCTATATGTACTCTGCATTCATTCTTATCAGTCTTCTGTCTCTGAGACCCCTTCCTCTACCTTTTGCCTTGGATTATATGCCCAGTCGTGGTATCCTTGCATCAGAGAATGTAGACAATTTAGGGACTTCAGAGTAGCTTTTTTTTTTCTTTTTTTGCTTGTTAGTAGCAGTGGCTTAAAGTACGACATAATGATTTTCTTTCTTGACCCTGGGATGGGAGACACTTTTCCCCTTCCATTTTATAATCATACTTTCAATGAAGCATTTCCTTTTAAACATGGCTTTATCAGGAGGAAAGTCAATATCCTATAATCCATAAAAATAATTTGCTGGCTGTGGTAGGAGCAACAGTAAACCCTTCCTCCAAGCAGGTTAGCTAGTTTTTTCTTAAAAGGTATTGAGACATTCTTCAAGACATGGTTGACTCTGGGGACTCGATGTCACTGCCTTATCACCTGGGCACAAAGCATCCACAAGGAGCCTGGGAACTCTGGTGCTTGACAGGTGGATTGCCACTGGAACTTTGTTCAGCCTAACCAACTAGAGGGGCTCTCAACTTTCATCTTTATTTCATCTCAGCCCCTTGCCATGGCTAAATAAATCTTTTTTGCTAACTGTAGAATGGCCTATGAGTGTCTCATTTTGTTCCAATGTCACATCTAACCTACTAGGGGATTGGTCTAAGCCCGGCTCAAGTCACTGGTAAACCCTATTGAAATGTGTAATCATTACATCAGGTTTGGATGGGAAGTGTCCTTAGAGGTGTTATGGCTCATTTGCTGCTGCTTGGAAGAAATAAAGTGCTTGCTGCCCTCCTTCAGGGATACGTGGGCAAGTTTTCCTTGATCTCCACATCTTATCATTGTACCATTCCTTGACCACCTGGCCTAAGCGAGATGGGCAGTGCTCACGTGACTCAGGTTTCCAATCAAGATTAAAATGCTTTTCATCACAGAATAGCTTTGAGAAAGTGTAATTGTATGGAATCAGGTGGCTCTAGTAAGAGACCTGCCACCATTGTGAGCTCTCACATTGTCACTGGCACAGTTCCCACATTGGGCTTCACCCTAAGACCAAGAATAGGCACACTCAGCACTCTTGCCTACAGTTGGGAATGGGGGACAACATGGATAAATGAACCACTTGGGCAAATCTGCAACTTAATGACAAAATAAGCTTGTTTGAAATGTGGACAATTAGGATAATACAGAAAAAGGGCCTGACAGACCATTCCTACCCTTACAAGAACTTGTGAATTTGGGTCTTGTAAGGGTAGGCAGATGGTCTATTAAACCCTTTTAAAAAATTTTTTTAGTTATCTTTTGGATTTATATTACTTAAATTTCCTGTAGCACTCCCCCCTCCCAAAGACCTATCCCATATAGCAGAATTAAAAAAAATGGAAGAGGGGAGGGAAAAAAGCAAAACTGAAGAAAACAAAAAAAATAAAATCTGACTATATGCTATATTCCACTCCCTCCTCCCTCACTCCTGTGAAGGAATGGGGTGAGATGTCTTCATAGTTCTTTGGTCATCCTTACACTTACAGGTTATTCAGAATGGGATTAATCAAGTGGTCTACAGAAATGCTTGTACACCCCTGCCAGTTGCTTGTCACTAAAACCCTAGTGTGGGCATGGAAGAACATTAAATGCTAGTAGGGCCCTATATAGGGGCAGTGGTAGAAGAGGGTGAGGTGAATGAATAAGAATACTAAGTCAGGAGCCAGAATGCAGAGAGACAAGCAGACTAGGGCATCCTAACACAAGCTAGAGATGGGAATTGTCACAGTATAGACTACAGTAAGGTGAATCACAAGACCTTGTTTATGACCAGTGTGGCTTTTGGAAAGTCACTTCTCTGGGGCCTAATTTGTCATTTATAATATGAGCAAGTAGTAGATTGCATAATTTATATGATTCTTTCTCCCTCAAAATCCTGTAAACCTGTGGTCAGAGATGAGAAGTAGGAGTGAGTTTGGGGGAGAATGTTTTGGCTATTCTGTCCTAACATTGTTTCAAATACACATTAGCTATGCTTCCCTTTACGGCCTAGTTCAGCTTTTTTTTTTTTCTTTTTGGTGAGGCAATCAGGGTTAAGTGACTTGCCCAAGGTCATACAGCTAATAGGTGTCAAGTGACTGAGGTCGAATTTGAACTCAGCTCTTCATGACTCCAAGGCCAGAGCTCCACTGCACCATCTAGCTGCCCCTTAGTTCAGCTTTCTCAAGGTGGCTTCAAATGACACACGATTACTGCCCCAACCCAATACTAGGCCAAAACAGAAGGCTGATTTAGCCCTGGACACCAGCTAGATAAATCAGTGAGTATACCAGGAGTGAGCATATGATCCAATGAGGTCAACAGACTAGGAAAATCAGAAATCAATCAAGTATTTAAGCCTTTCTTATGAAACAATATTCCAATTCAGGCAATTCAGAAAAATCATTCAAAACTCTTTTTAAAACAATTGCCCCTACCTCAGATTCCAGACTTAAGTTGGCTGGGGAGAGAGCAGGCACTCACCTCCTCAGCTGTCACTGGGCACCAGTCAATCACAGCTAGCTTAGCTTCCTAGCTGCCTCCCTGTCATTAAAGCTGTCTCTGCTACTTAATCAAACAGCAATCACTTCTTCAGTTAAATGCTCAGTTAGATTCCGACCTACCAGGCTATGGTTTAAGGTTACAGTTAATGCTCTTGCAGAATGAGCTGGGAGACCTAAAGGACCCCATGTTTTGGTCCAAGCACCTCCTAGTAGGACACTTCTTCACTCTGTAATGAGTCTCTAAAACTGACTCCTAAATGGGTTAAAGTGAATGATTTTCTCTTACCTCTTTTCTACCTCTGGCAGGATTCCTCCACACATTCCCACACCCGGGTATGTTTTCTGAGATTTTTCAATAAACACACACACCCCTCTCGGTTGGTCTTGCTACTCCCATAATGCCTTGTCACATAAAATATTCATGGACCCAAACACCAGTGATGGGGAAGAGGGCACAAGCAACATAATGCTTTTAATTGTATAGTCTTTCCCTTAGGAATAAGTCCTTAGTATGTTGGCATAGAGAGAGAAGGGGAAGTAGCAGATCTCTGCACCTAGAGACTCAAGTTGGCCAAGTACAAACCAGATTAGATACTTCAAGCCAAAGACTAAAGATCATTAAGGGTTAGAGGAATCCCTGAGTCAGAAGAGGTACTGCCAACTATGGGTAGCTGTGATCCTCAGCAGGGTTCTGACTAAGGTAACCCAGTCTGCAAGCATGGACCTGTGGATGAAGGCACTACTTCAGAGGATTCAATCCCTACAGCAGAGGGCTGAGGGATCAACTCATTGACCTCTGGGCAGTACTATTTAATAAGATAGAGTACCAAATTGCTGACCCATTATTTATAGCATGAGCCTAAGATATTTTCTCATAGATTTAGGATAGAAGATCAATTTGAATATAAAAAATACAGAGGTTAAATCTAGAAGTTAGGATGTTTTAATTAGTGGAATGTTACCCCCCCCACACACACACACACTTCATGATGCAAAATTGATGTTTTCATTCAGTTCTGCGTAACAATGAGGCTCCATCCATTCTTTAATAGTAATTGATCACTAGGAACTTTCTCTGTGTTCTTGGGTAAAGAAAATAATTTAATTCTCCCCATGGGATAGAACAAATTCTAGCTATTAGGCTGTTTTGCCCACTAAAAACTAGGAGCCACATTTGGCAGTGGTCTCATAGACAAAAGGGGGCAGGGCAGGTTTAGTTACATAGATAATGGTATCCAAAAACTTTGCAACCTGCTGGAAATCCCATGTTGAGAACCTTATTCCTATAGTTGGAATTTGATGCTAAAAGCACCCTCCCCTGGAATCTTAGATTAGAGTTGGACTGGATCTTAGAGGCAACTGAGTCCAACCCTCTCATTTCATGGATTTGGAAATTTATGCAGAGAAGTTTAAGGATCTGCTCAAGCTCACATGTCTAGTAACAGGCAGAATCAGGAATTGAATTTAGGTCCTCTGACTCCAAAGCCCAGCATACTTTCCACTATACCATGGGAAAGGCAAACGTCACCCACTTCAGCACCACAGACACCAGTACATAACTAGATCATCCACTAGAGTCACCAGGCACTTGCCTAGAGTTCTCCAAGATTAGCCATTAGGTTAGTCTGGCTCTATCCCCTGCCAGGTAAAAATTTTCCCTTTTATGGTCTGGGAATGTGGTAACCAGAACAGTGGTTCCCTCCTATACCTCTGTTCTGGAGCCAAGCCCAGAACCCCAGTTCTGGACGCCAGGTCACACCAGGGAGAAAGGTGACTTGATTAGACAAGGTCTCTGGACAGGTCTCAATTTAATTCAACAAGGTTGTACGAAAAAGCATCTATAGGCTTAGATGCTAAATGAACTGTGACTTTAGACTACGCTGAGTGCTATTGATACGAAGAAATTAAACAGTCCTTGCTCCCAAGGAGCTTACATTCTACTAGAGGGTATGAGCATATGCATAAAGCAGTCAAGACTAAATATGTGCAAAATCACTTCATTAAGGGTGGAGGGAAGAGAGGGGAGGGGTATGGAATCAGTTGGCATTTGAGTTGAGCCTTGAAAGGAAATAAGGGTTCTTTCAAATGTTGGATGTGAGGAGGGAAGATCATTCTAGGCATCAAGGACAGTTTGGGCAAATGCACGAAGGGCTGGAAATTGGCTGTCATGTACTAGGAGCAAAAAAGTGGGCAAGTCTGGCAGGAACACATGAAGGGCAATGATATAAAAGCAGTCTGGAAAGATCAATTGGACTCAGATTGTAGGAAGCTTTAAACGCCATGCTGAGTAGGTTGTATTCTATCTTAGCAGCAATATGGCGCCATTGAAGCTTCTTGAGCAGAGGAGTCACACAGTGAAGCTTTAGAAGCACCAATCCGGTAGCTGTATGGAGAACAGACTGGTGAGGGGACAGGCTTGAGGAAGGGAGAACAAATTGGAGACCATTGCAGTAGCCCAAAGAAGAGGTGATGAACTACAGGAGTGGCTATGTGGCAGAGAGAAGGGGGCAGATATCGTGGAGGGCAAGGATGATGACAAAGATTCTCTGTCATACCCACAAGAGCCAGGACTAGCAGAGAAACAGTGGAGTACACATGAGAGTTCTCTGTTTCTTTGTCTTCCACGAGACACATCTGCTAACTTCTAGAAAGTAGAAAGGGCTCATTTTGCTGTTTGTACAGGTAAGTTCAATCAAGAGAAGGGGCCATACGTTTTGGTACATTGGAATTTTTAGTCCAATGCTGAGCACAGCTGAGAACTTACTATTCCCATTCCCATAATAAGTGCCATTTAGCAATCTTTATTAAAATCAACACAAAACACTACAAAGATAACCCATCCCTCCTGTCTCCCAAAGTCAAACTCCCAGACTGGTTCACCTTTCCAAGGGGATTATATCTCCAAGAAAATGCTCAGTTTGTCAGGAAGTGGCTGACGGCATGTGTGAGGGAGAAAGATCACAACACAAAGGCCACGCATGGTGATAGCATTTTATTTTGGTTGTCTGTGAATTCCCTCAACAGAGACTTGGGAATAGGGGATACTGCAGTCACTGCCTCCAGGAAGCGGGAGAAAAGAGACTTTTGTATCCCCTCCTGCGCAGGGCCACAGGGAAAGTAACTGTATGGAACAGTTAGAAATAGAAAAAAAATCATAAGCCTTTTCCCTTCCCTTCCTTTTCTTGCCCTCTCTCCCCCTTCTTTGAAACTGAGTCTCCTTATCTCACCCATGGAACAGTTAGAACTAGAAAAGACCTTAAAGTTCTCTCTCTCTCTCTCTCTCTCTCTCTCTTCCTCCTCCTCCTCTGTCTTTTCTCTCTCTCTCCCCCATCCCTCCTTTTTTCTCTATCTCCTTTCTTCTCTTCTCTCTCCTCCTCTCTCTTCTTCCCTTTCTCCTCTTCCTCCTCTCTATCCCTCCCTTTTTCTCTCCTCCTCCTCCTCCTCCTCCTCTTCCCTCTGTCTGTCTCTCTGGCTCTCTCTCTCTCTCCCCTCATTTCACCCAGGCTGCGAACGTAGTGCCCACTTATTCAACCCAAGCCCTTTACTGATGGATGCAGAAACTTAACCCAGCTTCTGTTTCTCACCTGGGCTATGCTTCCCAGCCTCCTCTGGCACAGGCATCCTGACAGCCCCTTGCAATCACCAGCATCTTTTGCTACCTCCCTGGTAGCAGGGATCACTGGCATGGGCCATCATACTTGGCTCACCCTGTTTCATTAGACAAGGGAAATGAACTGAGACCCAGGGAGGGACTTGGTAGTGAAACACTGGTTCAGTCTCCCAACTCTATAATGTGCTTTTTTTTAAAAAACCTCCGTCACCTGAAAGGCCCCTGAAAGAGATGTGAGCTTTCCAACAAAGTGTTGGATGAAATGCTGATTGTTGCCTAAAACAGCTGTGTTCAAGGGACTGTTGGACTGCATACAGAGCCTTAACATTATATTCATAGAATCGTAGGTTTAGAACTAAAAGGGACATTTCGGAGTCCCTCCTCTCATTTTTACAGATGAGAAAACTGAAGTATACAGAGGTTAAGTGATGTCATATAGCTAGTATCTAAGGCAGAATATGAACCCAGGCCTTCCTAACTCCAAGTCTAGTACCCTATCCACTACTTGAAGCAGTCAAACTCCACAGCAGGTATGGAGACAGATTAAAATGTAATTGGGAAGTAATAATAAAACAAACAAAAATACAACATAGATAATATTAATTTGTGGTTTTCTAACTCAATATACAGCTTGCAGGGATATATTTTTATTTGCATTTGATACCATGCTGCCTTTCTAGCAATAGATATTTGTTGAATTCAATTGATTTTGAAGATATGAATGCCCAACAGCCCTGGAAGAAAAACAGAGCTCCAGAGGTCCAGTTCTGGCTTAAATTTGTTCATCTTTAGGAATTTGTGCGTGTCCAATGTTTGTTCTTTAAAAAAAAAAAAAAAGGCACACACCTATTACTTTTAGGATCCAGAACCTGAAGGATCCAAAGACCAGGTAGCAAGAATGCCCAGCAGAGGGCAGCATGACACTGATAATATTGGCACAGCTTAAAAATACTGCACATCTGTAACTTATTATATATAAACAAAAGTGGCCAGTCAGAGCATGATGGAATGTCAGACCTGGGAAGGGGAGGGACACTGGTAGCCCTTGAGTACAACCCCTTCATTTTATGGATGTAGAAGAAGAAGCCCAGAGAGAAACAAACTGACGTGGCCATGGTGCCATGGTTATAATCAATGTCAAAGCCAGGTCTAACCTATGCCAGAGCTCTAAGCTCTGGGTCCAGGGCTCCTTTCACCACCCTCTTTACTTCTCAGCAGTGACTGGCTTTAATTTTCAACAGCTGGAGGGAAGTTATGAAAGAACAAGAGTGAAACATCAGTTGTCTGTGAAAAATATGCATCTTTTTTAAAGCTTCCTGGGCATGATGGTGTTGTGGGATGGAAATGCACTAGGCTGGGTTTCAGTCCTGGTTCCTTCCTAACAAAAACTAGCACTTATGTGCTGCTTTAAGACTTGTAAATATTATCTTTATTATATAGTATCTTTATTATGATTATGACATATATCTTTATTATAATTATTACAAATATTATCTAACAATCCTGAGAAGTAGATTGCTATTATTATCCCCTGCTATTATTATAGCAGGCCGAGGTTAAATGACTTGCTCAGGGTCACACAGCTAGGAAATGTCAGAGGCTGGATTTGAATTCTGGTCTTCCTGACTCCAGGTCCAGCACTTTATCCATTATGCCATGTAGCTGCACCACAATCCTCTTCTGGGTCTCAGTTTACACATCTATAAAACTGGGAGGAGTGAGGGGCGATTTTATTTATTGATTTCTCTGAGCAAATATTCCATGGCACATTCCTTCTTTGGGTATCAGTTGACTCATCTTTAAAATTTGGGGGGCAGGGGATTCAATTCAGTTAACTTCTCTGAGCTAACATTTTATGAGTCTATGAAATAAGATTCTGAAATGTTTAATTTATCCCCTTAATGAACCCATAACTAAATAGGCAAGATAAAGTCTTTTCTCGGGAGTAGTTAGCTGGTGCAGTGGATAGAGCACCAGGCATGAAGTCAGGAAGACTCATCTTCCTGAATTCAAATCCAGCCTCAGACACTTACTAGCTGTGTGACCCTGAGCAAGTCATTTAACCCTGTTTGCCTCAGTTCCTCATCTGTAAAATGAGCTAGAGAGGGAAGTGGCAAACCACTCCATCATCTTTGCTAGGAAAAACCCAAATGGGGTCACAAAGAATCAAAAATGACTGAACCAACAACCACAAAAACGTCTTTCTCAAACCAGTACATGATTTTGACCTAATCAGAAGGGCCTCAGATTCCTCCCCCTAGCTATTGCCAGGGCTCTGCTTACCTCTACAGAATATAGTGGAAATACCCATTCTCTAGATTGCTTTGACTTCGCAGCATTTGGCTAAAGGAGTCAAACTTCTAATCACCCATTACCTTCTGGTGTGGGCAGGATGAAGGAAATGTCGAACCAGGTGTTTACTTAGTGAGAGAGAGTGCACTCACCCCTGAGTACGGGCCCAAACCAGATTAAAATGTAATTGGGAAACATTTAACAACATAAATGAAGAGCACAAAAAAACATAGACAACATTACTAAGTCAATATGCAGCCCCCTTACATACAGATGAGTAGCCGCCAGTTTCTATAGGAGTTTGACACCACTGCACTAAGTGTCAGATTTCAATGTTTTCAAGCTGAACTGAGGAACTTGGTCCAAAGTTGAGGCCATATAATACATGTGAGGATATGAAATTTTACATTTGAAGAGATTCTGGGGAAAAGGCTCAGAGTATAGCATCCTTAAAAAGAGGGCATGGAAGAGACCAAGAAAGAGGACATCCACAAGGTGTAACAGAAGCAGGAGAGTTAAGAGGCCTGGGTTTTGCCACTAATTAGTTGTATTGCCTTGGACATGTCACCTCTCTTCTGGGTCTCAATTTCTTCAACAACCAAAGCATACTTACAATTGTCTATTACACTCAGTGGACACTGAGGTTATAAAGATTTTCAAAATAGTATAGACCATGAGAAGGTTGGACTCAATCAGAGAGGAATTCTTTACCTTTGTGTCATGGATCCCTCTCCCTCTGGGAGTCTGGTGAAGCCTATGGACCTCTCCTCAATATTATGATGGAAGGAAATGATAAATTTCAGTTGTAGGTTATTGAAAATAAAGATGCATTTTTTTCCTATCCAAGTTCCTGGAATCACTCTCCCTTCCCCTTTCCCATCCCCTTGCATTAGATCAATCAATCAACTGGCATTTGTTAAGTGTCTACACCAGGGGTGGGGAACCTTTGGCCTCGAGGCCACATGTGGCCTTCTAGGTCCTCAAGTGCGTCCCGTTGACTGAATCCAAATCCAAATCCAAAAAGGATTTGTTCTGTGAAGTTCAGAATCAGTCAACGGGCCGCACTTGAGGACCTAGAGGGGCACATGTGGCCTCGAGGCCGAAGTTTCCCTACCCCTGGTACATGATACTTGGTGCTAGGGATACAAAGACAAAACAGGAAACAGTTTCTGCCTTCAAGGACCTTACATTCCAATGGGGTTAGGGGAGGAAGCAACATATAGACGATCTCTTAGGTCCTTTCTAGCTCTGGCATTCTGTGCTTTTAAGGGGACATCAATAGGAAAGGTCTTAGTGATGCCAGGGTGAGTGGAGAAGAGAGAGAAGAAGAAAGAAAATAATATATCCAGCAAAAACATGTTTAAAAAGGTAAGTGCACTTAGTCCTGGGAAGAGAGTGAGGAATGGACAAAAGGCAGATGTCACTGGCAGCCATTCAATTTCTTTTTTTTTCTTTTTTAGGCAATTGGGGTTAAGTGACTTTCCCAGGGTCACACAGCCAGTAAGTATCAAGTGTTTGGTCTGAGGCTGGATTTGAACTCAGGTGCTCCTGACTTCAGGGCCGGTGCTCTATCCACTGTACCACCTAGCTGCGTCCAATTTCTATTCTGCTTGCAATATCTGTCCCAATCCCACCCACACCAGAGAAGAACGTGGAGGCCAGGACCCAGACTGGCAGATCAGGACAGATCATGCTGGAGTTGGCAGAGACCCCAGCAAAGCACTGATCCTCATTACAACCTCTCAGCACCTTCAATCCCGTCTTAGAAAGTGGCGCACAAATCCAATTTCTTTTTGGTTTTAATATTTAATACCTGGAGACATTCCCCTCCTTTTCATCACCAAAGTACCAAACGTGGAGGGGGTGAGGAGGATTTGAGTATTCGATTTCTACTCCCTTACAGAAGCCAAGAATCAAAGCATTTTTACCAAAAAGATTGCTGCACAGCCAACGGGGAGGGAGGAGTCATCAGGGCAAAACCATAAATGCTCAGGAATTTTTTTTTTAATATAAAAACGACCAACTCTAAGACATCCAGACTTCTTGACTCCATTGTTGGTTATAGTCACGCACAATTGGTTCCAAACAACCTTCCCTTCTGCCCTGGAAGATATCGGGGTAGACTTCCTTCAAGTCACATGTTTTTTTCTGAAGTTCAGGTCACTTAGCAAACTGGAAAAAGCAAGGAGGTGCCAAGGCCCTCCAGCATTCCCCATCCCTTCCCTTCCTCCCCCTTCACATACCTCTTCTGGGCCCAGGTAGGTAGGTGGCAAGTCTGGCCTGGCTCCAGCCTGTGCAAAGGATGGCGTAACCAGGTGCCCCTTCCTACCCAGACAAAAGGCTTCTTGTCCAAGCCCGCTTTAAAGGATTGTTCATCAATTCCTACTTAAGGAGCAGTAATACAGTCAAGCACTTGTCTACATCATTCCAGTCTTGGAAATTTTTTCCAAAAAGAAAAAAGAAAAGAAAAGTCCCCCCAATCCCTCTTCAGATGAATGACATCAGTCCACGGTACCATTGTAGGATTTGTTGAGCTTGTTAAAGGTGAAATCCACAGTGTGGGTAGATATTGGCTTTCTATACAGAGGGTTGGAAGCCTAAACAAATAAATGTGAGAAGGACAAGCATTAAGGAAATTCATCCAAATATAAACCTCTAATAAGTTCATACTGGGGAGGGCTATTATAACAATCCAGTCAACAACTATTCAATTAACCCTTATTATATGATCACCACTGGATATGATCCCTACCTTCTAAGAGTTGGAGGAGGGAGATAGTTTTTAAAGATTAGGATAGGGATGAGATCTATGATTTCACTGCTTTTGAGAAGTCCCTATTGAAGAATCTCCCTCTATCAATGAAGGTCAGCACCTGTTCTGAAACTTAGAGCCTTAGAGAGATGCCTGGGACACTGAGAATTTAAATGACTTCCCCAGGGTCACACAGATCTGTCTGAGGTGAGGAACTTGAACTCAGGTCTTCCTAGCTCCAAGGCATGCTGTCTCTCTCGGAGATGATGAACACACAGAAAACCATCAGAACTCAGTTAGATATCAAAAGTAATAATAGCTAACATTTACATAGCACTTTAAGGTTTGCAAAGCATTAAGTGCTATCACGATCCCCCTTTTAAAGAAAAGGAAACTGAGTCTGAGAGGCGTTAAGTGACTTGCAAAGGTCATACAGCTATTAAGTGGGTGAGGTTGGATTTGAACCCGGCTCTCCCATCAGTTTACATGCCAACGCTGCCTCACTTCTTGCTGCATGCTACATCTGGGTAAAAGGCTAGGTGGATAATCATTGCTTTACCCGAAATTTGAGGATCTTGCTCCCTTGCTACCCACTTCACTCCCATCATTTAAACAGTTGCTGAAACACCGCCCCCCCCCCACTGTCCCCTGCAGTTTTTCTGGATTGATTACAGGGGATCGACTGGCTTTCCTAGAGCTGACATTTCTAAGTATCCTCCACTCTCCCCCAAATTGTACGTGTATGCCTCTGCTGCACTTACTTCTCCCCAAATTTCACCCATCCTATCCAGAGACATCCAAATCCACACTGTAAGACCCAGATCAGGATTCACACATCCATGAAGTACATGCCTGGAGTAGGGATGGGGGGCTTTTGTACCTTTTATCCTTCATACTTATGAATGTGGAGCCAGGCCATCTCATGTATGTACGCCTATTGTGTGTCTTCTACTAAGCAGGGTAGGGGTAGCTAGGTGGCAAAGTGGATAGCGCACAGCTTAGAATCAAGAAGACTCATCTCTATGAGTTCAAATCCAGCCTCAGACATTTATTAGCTGTGTTACCCTGGGCAAAGTCACTTCACCCTGTTTGCCTCAGTTTCCTCATCTGTAAAATGGGCTGCAGAAGGGAATTGCAAACCACCCCAGTATCTCTGCCAAGAAAACCCCAAATGGAGTCACAAAGAGTCAGATAAGACTGAAACAACTCAACAATAACTAAATAGGGCAAATTCCTTGAGCAAAAACATAGTATTTCCCATTCTCTGTCAGAGATGCTATGATCTGTCAGTGCCTGAGCCAGCATCATACACATAATAACAACAACAATAGCTAATATTTATATAGTGCTTGAAAGCTTGCAAAGCACCATATATGTATGTGTGTATACAAACATATATAATTATATACATATATAGTGTATATATGTATGTGTGTGTATATAAATTTCATCTGATCCTCACAACAAGTCTGTGAGATATGATTATCCCCATTTTCCAGATAAGGAAACTGAGGTCAAATGAAGTTACGTGACTTGCACAGGGTTACACAGCTAAGTAGATAGCTAAGGTAAGATTTAAGCTCAAGTATATCTAATGTCAAATCCAAGGTTCCATCCACTACTATCTAGCTGCCCACCATAGTGGGTCCTCAGTCAATGTTTGCTGCGTCTTGCCCAGATGCTCCATAATGTTAGCTTAGTGTCAGCTTTCTATTTCTTTTGAGGCGACGTCTTCATGGTCACCAACTTCTGATTGTTTTCCGCCTCAGAGCGTAAGTGCCCTGAGTTCCCCATCTCTGCGCCCCCCCCCCCATCCTCAACTTACCATTTCGTATCTTGCTCTGGAACGTTCACTCTGGAACTTTGCAAATTCCCTTCGGTCATGTATGGTGACGAGTAGCTTCCAAATGGCAAGGAGGGCGATGCCAACCAGAAGAATACTGCCCACCACTGCCAACAGGATTGTCATTGCGCTGGGTGCAGAACCACACTCTGAAGAACAGAATGAGGGCTGGGGTAAACGGGAAGGCGGGGGGTGGGGTGGGGTGGAAGGGTCCTCTCCTGGGGGCTTCAGTCTCATCCTCTGGACCATGGGGAGAAAGAGACAACTGTGCCCCACAAAGAGAACAGCTGGGACAGGAGCCCTCGGAAAGAACGGCATTAATTCAGGGATGCTCTGATCATGCCATCGACCCAGGGCTTTGGGAGCCACTGAATAACAGAGTAAAAACTGAGTTGTCTAGTCTAGCTGGGACAGTACCTTAGCCTAACAGCCTCACATACAAACAAAGAAACACACATTAACACAAATTAAACGAACTCTCCCAAGGCACATAGAAAGTCTTTGGTAAAGCTGAGAACTGAAATCAAAGTTTTGGTGGATTACAATTTTGTCTCACTTGTCTTCATTCTCCATCTCCATCTGGCTCAAATCTACCCAAACCTAAACACAATGGGTCAAGACCTCTTCGAACTGAAAATGTTTGAAAGACAGACTGTATCAACTGGAGGGTCTATGCAGCCAAGGGGGCAGCCATCATTTGTAAGCTTTTAGTGTGAGGGTCTTGGAAACTTGCTGGCTAGACTTGTAATAATTAAAATTTTTAAACTTTCATTTTACTTTTTCAAAATTAATAAGCATATCCTCTTTCTCCCACCTATCCACATAGAAAAAAGAAAAACAAAACCCTTGTAACTAATGTGCAGTCAAGCAAAATAAATTCCTGCAAATTCCCACACATTGATTTCTTATTCTGCATCTCAACTCCATCACCTTCCTGTCTCGAGATGGGTAGTATGTTTCATCATCAGTCTTCTGGAATTATTGATTTGCTCTTTAATTAATTTTAAGTTAATTTTCTTTTTTATTCTGAACTTATCAAATGCCAAATAGAAGGGATATTTGCATAAATATAGCAGAAGAGAAAAAGAAGACTGTGCATAGAACTACAGGTCTCCTAATAAACAATTTGCTTTTCTTCAAAGTACATAATAAAATCAACCTATAGTTTTCAAATCTATCCTTGGAATTGTAAACCTGCTCAACTTTCAAAGGCATAGAAGGGAAGCCCTGAAAAGTATAGTTGATACTTCTCTGCCATGGACACCCATGAAGCACTGGGGATCATGCCTACCTCCTTCAGCTCCTTCTGCAAAAGGGAGTGTACTAGTAGTGTGCCTTAGCCTAGATTAGCAGAAATTTCAATGTCACAGATTAGCTGCAGCCATTTTGCAATGCTCTCTCCGCAGCCTGTTTACCCAAAGGCCCAAGTCCTCTTGCCACTGGACGAAGTCCACAAGGAGGTAGCTTTCAAGAGAGACAGTGCTGAAAATCAGAACTCCTCAGACACAATAGTCTGTTGTTTCACTAGCCCTAGGAGAGGCACAAATATTGCAATTTGCACTAAATCTTGTTCTACACGGGGGCCCACAGAGTGACCAACACTGTGGGAGGTTTTGTGTAAGAATACTTATCCAAACTCACTACATCTTGGAATCCAGCCTAGGAGGGAAGGCACAATATGGTCAGAAAAGATTTCATCAGGATGCCCCCACCAGCTCAGACTGTCCCAATCACTCCATGACCTATCCTTGCTAAACACAACACAGAAATTTAAACTTATTCAATAAGTAATTTTTTTGCTATATGTTTTTGCTATGGGAGATGTTGATTTTTTTTATATTGTTACTTTCATCAGACTGGGAACTTCTCCAAGTAAAAAGACTATATATCTCCAGACATCTCCCCTACTTCTAGGCAGAGGTGGAAGATTATGGAGATATACAGAAAGATAGATGGATAGAGATGTATATATGTGTACATATGTATGCATGTATATGTATGTATATGTGTACCTGTACATGTAGATAAATATGTATATGTGTACATATGTGTGTGTATATATGTATGTGTATGTGTGTGTGTCTGTGTATAATCAAGACTTTTTCTGATGTGTCAGTTTTGCTGAACTTTTTTCTTCTTTTTTTTTCTCCTATTTTATAAATCTCTGGCAGTGAAAAGGAGAATAAAAGTGGGGAAGGTGGGTAAACAGGCATCTGTGATTTCATTAGTACAGGGAACTCCCAGATGAGAAAACCCAATGTAGGCATCAGCAGCTTCTCTTAGAAAGCTGCCTAGGGCACTGAGAGGTCAGGTGATTTGTCCAGGAACATTTAGCCAGGATGTGTGGCAGGTAGGAAGTGACCCTAGTCCTTCCTGGCTCTAAGGCCAGTTCTGTATCTACCATACCATGCAGCTTCTCAAACAACAACAACCACCACCACCATCCCCCCCCACAACCAAAAAGGTATCAATAAAATTTCTTTTCAAAAATTAGGAGTCCATATCCCCTTCCTTGGAATCTCCATTCAGAAGTGAACTCCCAATACCCAAGGGATAGTCAATCAGTGATGTTCATTGACAGCCTGGCCCCCTTCCCTGCTTTGGTTGGGGGATTGGGCAGTAGCCTCACTCTTCATTTTCTCCAGGTTCTTTCCTTCCTCATATTTCAGGAACTCAGGGTGCGAGGGGCAAAAGAGCAAAGGCAGGAAGGAAGACTAGTACAGAGCAGACTAAAGTGTATTTGTTAGGTGGGATCCCAACTGTTTATTGTTTCATGTCTCTTGAGTTGAACCCTTCGGAGCATTAGATTCTGATTCTGAGGCTGCCTGTAAGCAGCCAGTGGCTTGGCGGGACACCTGTAACCTTTCTGTGTTGGAGGATGAGACCAGAGAACTCACCCAGTCTAAGGAGACACCTACCTGGCTCCTTGAGGACCATGAGTTTGGACTTGCCACTGGGTAGCTCAGAGTAAGTGAACATCATGACGCAGTCCTTGGCGGTTTTGTAGAAACACAGGACAGCTTCCGGGTCATCTTTTGCTGGAAGAAAGCCAAACAGTTAAGAGGAGGAGAGGGAGTATTTCTGAGCTATGGCAGTACTGACAACCTGCAAGGCTCAGCCTGGCAGAGCAGCAGAGAGGGATCCAGCCCACCTGAACTCTGTAGCATTTGCATTCCCCATCCTGGAGATGGAGACAGACAGCCGGGGGACTGGGAGGAGGAGGAGGAGAGATGGGGAGGAGGGAGAGGAAGAGGAAGAGTAGGAGAAGGAGTCTGGGTCCTGAAAAGATTATTTTGGTCTCTATCGTCCAAAGCTTTGGCTGAGGCTCTGGATTTCTCATCCCTCTGGGGACTATGAATTCCTTCCCACGTCAGGGGCTTCCTGTGGGGACACATGGAACAAATTAGGTAACCTTCAAGCATCTGAGAAGTTTGTTGGTGATATTGATAGAGGAGAAACAATTAACACTCGGGGGGGGTGGGAGACGATCACAGGTGGAAACCAAAACAGAAGAGGAAAGTGCTCTGGAATCCTCAGTAAATATGGTATTGAGGAAAAGTAGTCTGTGAATGTACTTTATCCATTTCTGACCTGAAGGAATGGGTCTCTTGCAAGAGGGCAACCTTAAGTATGAGGAGTTTGGTTACTAGGAGACAAGCTAGAACGGAAGCTAAGAAACCTGAGTTTTAGTACTAGTTTTGGTTTAACTGATATTGTGTCCTAGACAGACCAAGTTTCTCATCTGTAAAATGAAGGGGTCAGACAGGGCGACCTTTAGAATTCCTATAAGCTCCAAGGCTGACAGAACCAAGGCGTAATCAGCTCTACACAACTGACTGCTGGGTAAGATCTGCTCTTGGGAACATGGAGGCATGAAAATGTTGTTTCGGTTTTTTTTTTTCCATTAATATCAACGAATCAGGGACACACACTGACCCCAGCCGCTAACCTCAAAACACAGATGTCAGGATGTTGGCTGCTGAATGCTTCAATGACCTACTATGTAGGTCATTCCAGCTGAGTGGCTAAGCTGAGAGATGCACGACCTTCCTTTCTCCTTAGGAGCATGATTTTCAGGGAGTGAGGATAAAAAGATTAGTCTGGTCTATGTTTGGAAAGCTCCCCCTCCTCCCCTCCTCCCTCTTACTTAACTGCTGACCTAAGGGTATGTTATCAGAACCTCACTACTGCATTCCACGGCTGAACTAGGAAATCATTGGGACGTTTATTTTCAGGAGGGGAAGGAAGCAGGGGAAGTGAGAGGTGAAAATGAAGGTAGCAGATAGGAAGTTAGAGGCTAGAACTTTAAATAGGCTAAAAAAAAAAAAAGGCGAAATTACAAAAAAAAAAAAACAAACTTGTTGAAAGAAATACTGCTAATATGAAATGCTTCTCAGTTCTTGCCTCATTGTTTAGAGAAGCTTGCACTCTGGGTCAGATACATTAGTTGGCTGTCAAAGTAGAAGGCCTGGACCATTTCAGCTCATATTTAAAAAAAAATAAAAAGATCATTTTGCTTAAAAAAAAGTCTCTCCCAATACCCAACCTTTTGTGATTGAAGCTATGTACATCTGTACCATGAGGATGAAAAAACTCAAGGACAGAAGAATAAGAAGGGGCTACAGTGAATTGGGCAAGTGTCTTCTTGGGGAAGCAATAGACATCTGTCAAAGACTCAGGAGAACGGCAGGGTGAATCACCATAAACTTCAGACACAGTCTAAGAGAAATAGTTAACGAGTCATGGGAAGATTCCCAGAGTTTGGAGGCTAGCCTGTCCAATTCCAGCATTTTTTTCAAAAGAAAATCGTTCCTCATGTGTGGTTGGTTCTCCCTTCCACCTCCTCTTCCAGTTACATGTGCTTTTACTGATGTCTTTCAGACTCCTCACACGCAGGTCATTCCTGGTAACAGACTGTATGCAGCCTATTTCCAGCTCCCATGTCCCTTTCTATTGTCCTCTGCATCATCTGCAACTTCATGAGATCATGGGATTCTGAGATTTGCAGCCGCACACCATCAAAGAGAATTTAAAAATAGCAACTCTGGCAGCCGTGAGCAGCTTTGGATGACTGAAAGTGCCAGGCAGTTTCTCAAATGCAATCTGGACTTCTCACATCCTCAGTTCCGGATTATGTTTACTGTCTGTCATGCCCTATCCAGGTTACATCCTGAGAGACTAACTCAGTGGGCTACCCATCAAACTGCATGATAGGAGCAATTCATACTTTCCATCCGCTTTGTATTTCTAACGTGCGTGGCTTGGGCAATCTCACGGTGCCCTGTAGAATATACAAGGTACTCAAAAAATATCAGAGCTATAAGAGCTTAAATCAAGAAGACATTTTTGTAAGCTTTAATAGCTTAATACAAGAAAAGATTTTAATGAGCTATGACAACTTAAAATTGTTTTAAGACTTTGGGAATATCCTGTATTTAGTTATTTATAATAAAAATAAAAGCTAACAATTACATAGCATAGCTAAGCACTTTTCACATATGTTCTCATTTGATCTTAACAGTTCTGTAAAGTGGGTTCTATTATTGGCCCCATTTTCAGATGAGGAAATTGAGTCTGAAAGACATTAAGTGACATATGTGGCTTACAGTGTCTAAGGGAGGATTTGAATTCAATGCTTCCTGATGCCCAAGTCTAGCACTTTATCTACTGTGCTGCTTAAGTCCTACTAGGATGCTATACCCCAATTTTGATGTCTGAGATAATGGTGGGTTTTTGAAAGCTATGTTAGTAGAAAAGCTGTGGACTGTGTGTATCCTCCGAAGATCAGCCTAATTAACTGGGTTAAATATTTCTATCACTGGGACCTAGTCCAGTGTCTGACCCATAGTGAAGGCTCCATAAACACTTATTGATTTGATTGACTCATCACTCATGCCATCTACTAAGGTCTGCAGTGTAACCATCAGTGGAGGGAAGTCTCACCTACATACACTGAAGAAATCACTAATGCTTCTTGAAGTAACAAAATAGTTTAGTTATTAAAGTTCTATCTGTATTCTCAATTCTTGATTTAATTTTCTTAAGAAATATTTCATCCATTAAGCAATTCTTTATTCAATTAACTGCCCATCTGCCATACCTGTGCAAGACAGACAGACAGATGTACACACACAGATCAATTAACTCAATGGGCCACCCACTAAACTGCAAATATTTGGAGCCTGAGTCTCCCAATCTCACCCAGTCTCACAGGCTGTAAGAGGCCACTCATGGGTTGAACTCAGTGCTTGCTGATCAGCACAGAAGCTTCACTTTGTTCCATTTTTCCCAGTGTGGGCTGGCTCACATCTCCTTAAGCAGCCTGGTGGCCCTTCACTTCTGGGGGCTCACCATATTTGTATCAGACTCAGTACGGACACCCAATTGACTTTAGCTCCCCTGCTGCTCAGAACTCCTCAATCCAAGGAATCTACCACCTCAGCCTCTCCAGGAGCAAGGATTATGGGCATGTGCCACCATTCATGGCATAAATATATCTTCTTACTCACATTTTAAATCCTGTTTTTTTGTTTGTTTGTTTTTTTAGGCAATTGGGTCACACAGCTACTGTGCCCAGGGTCACACAGCTAGTAAGTATCAAGTGTTTGGTCTGAGGTCGGATTTGAACTCAGGTCCTCCTGACTTCAGGGCCGGTGCTCTATCCACTGCGCCAGCTAGCTACCCCAAATCTTAAAAATAAATATCAGATCCCTAACTGTGATAATCTTTTTCTGTTTGCATTTAGAGTATGAGGAAATGCTTAGTGAATTAGTTTGAACCAGCATACAAGCATTTCATTTCTAAAACATTTGAATTAGACTAAAGCTGTCCTATCATAATTTATTCTAACCCTACCTGTACTGAACTGGTATTTCAGTATAAGTTTTGGTCCTTAGCAAGAAGATCTTTTCTCAGAGCTTGAGGGACAGAGGGTAATTAGGTTAAAAGTGGCTATCTCTTTCCTGTGCTGGAGAATAAAATAACTTTCTGTATGGCACTATCTGTGACCCTGAGCAAGTCACTTAATCCTGTTTGCCTCAGTTTCCTCATCTGTCAAGTGAACTGGAGAAGGAAATGGCAAACCACTCCAGCATCTTTGCAAAGAAAAGCCCAAATGGGATCACGAAGAGTTGGATCCAACTGAAACAACTGAACAACAAAAATCTATGTACAGAAAGACCTTTACCTATATCCCCTAGAGTAGCATGATAATATGGGGAGAAGCAATGAGCTGAGAGTAACCCCAAAACTATCTAATGGATAATGAGGATGATGATAGCTAGCATTTATTAAGTACCTACCAGACAGGTACTTAATACAGGTACTGTATTAACTTAACTCAGGTACTGGTCCTGTGCTAAGATCTTTTACAAATATTATCTCATTTGATCCTCACAACAACCCTGGGAGGTAGGTGCTATTGTTATCCCCATTTTACAGTTGAGGAAACTGAGGCAAATAGCGGTTAAGTGACTTATCCCAGGTCACACAGCTAGTAAGTGTTTAAAGTTGAATTTGAACTAAGGTCTTCCTGAATTGAGGCCTAAGCTCTAATGAAGGTACAAGTGCCCAGGAGAGCCTGTGTATTCAAGGAGAAATGGGGAACAGTGAACAAAAACTGAGGGAGTATGAAATTTCTAGAGAAGGAGCAGACAAGGTCACCCTTGTAGTCCTGGCAGTGAGCTAACTATTCTGGGATACTGTGGAACCTAACCATGGGTAGGTGCTACCTAGAGAGTAAATAGCTTAGGGAAAACACAGCTAGATGGGGGGACAGAAATAGAAGTTGAAATTAAGTAAGTATTTCTTGGCTAACTAGGGAGAAAAGGACTAGGAAGAGGCAGACGTCTGGTAACCGGACTAAGGCTTAAATAACTAGGGTACCTCATACACAGGAAAAGGCCAGCCTTGATATCTCGTCTATCCACACGTAAATGCTTAATCCCTACAGATGAGATCACAGTCGTCTAGGGCGAGAGATAGTAGGGACCTCAAAGGCTATTTAGTGCAACACCCTCCATTTTACAGGGGCAGAAACTGAGGCCCAAGAACTTGCCTAAGGTCATAGAGGTTAAATGTCAGAGACAAGATGGCACTTGTATCCTTGTAGACCTTTAGCCCTAAAAATCTATAAGAATCTAGAACAACAGAATAATGAGGTAGACTAAAGAGGTAGAAAGGACCCTACTGATCACCTAGTCCTTTTTTTATATATGAGGAAATGGAGGAATGTGACTTACCCAAGGTCACAAAGTGAGTTAGTGGCAGAACTGAGACGAAAATCCAGGTCTTTTGACTGGCACAGGAAGTCTTAGGGACGTCATTCTAGGTCCTTCCGGAGACTCCCCTTTCTCATTCAAAGTTAAGAATTCCCCCTTTCCCCACGGATGGACTCCCATATATCTCAGTTGAAATCCCATAATGGAAGGTACCAAGAGCAATGAACTTATAAGCAATCTGCACCACCACCAAAACCGCCACCACCATCCCCCACCAAAAAACAACCCAAAAACCCAGAGCATCTGGTACAGCGTCTATCATCTGCCATTCCTTGGCTCTACTTACTGATTGAGTCCACCCGGGTGATGACTTCATCCCTGCAATGCTTTTGGCATGTCTGGTTGTCAGCCAGCCTCCCTGAGTTAAATAACATACACTCCACACAATCTCTTTGAAGAGAAAAAGAAAAGAAGGGAGGAAAGACATGAAATACCATGAAGCCATGCTATACAAGTACCAATTCTAATGCTGATGTAAAACTTCTAAAGTTCCTCGCTGGGACTGTGCTCACATGGGCCCTGGCTATACCCTCTTCTGCCTTCTCCCTTCAGACACATCTTGGGGGGCGGGGTATGAAGTGTAGAAACATCTTTTCTTTTATGTTGACTTGCTTTTATGCCAGTCACAGAGAAGACCACCTGTGTGAACTTTATCTACGTGCCTAGTTAACTTTCTGATTTTAGGATCATGAATTTAGGGCTGGAAGAAACCTCCGAGGTCATCTAGGCAAAGCTAACTCCCTCATTTTACAGTAAAGGAAGTAGAGGCCTAAGGAGGTTTACTGATTTGCTCAAGGTCCCAGAGATAGTAAGTGCCAGAGTCAGGATTTCAATCCAGGGCCTCTGATTCTGACATCGAGCCTCTTTTAAAACAGAACTACTAAGAGCTTAAACCACCAATGCTGCGGCATCATGAATCCTGACTGGTTCGCTCTATGAGAAGAGGGATTAGGAGGTGGGCAGGTGGTGCTGTGGACAGTGCTATGGATAGAGTTTGGGACTTGAGGTCAGGAAGACATGAGTTCAAATCATGCCTCAGACACTTCTTAGTTACGCAGGTTACTTCACCTCTATCTGCCTCAGTTTCCTCATCTCTATACAATGAGGCTAATAATAGCACCTACTTCCAGGCTTGGTGTGAGGATTGAATGAGATCACGTTTGTAAAGCACTTTGGAAACCTTAAAGTACTCTACAACTGGAAGCTATTATTATTATTCATTATTATTATTATTCATTATTATTCCCTTGGGGAAGACAGTTGCACTGAGGCTCCACACAATATGCTCCTTCATTCTAATTTCTACTGCCTTATCCCTCTTTCCCAACAAGTGCCCTTTGTTCTCCGGCTGTCTCTTGGCTACACAGCACCTCCCACCCTGTGACCCCCTGTGTCTGACCTTCCAGCCCGGCACCTTGTGTTCAAGATTCCAGGCACCACCCCCACACTGTCCTGTTCATACCAGCCCTGCCCTCCACTAATCACCAGCCAACTAATTTAATGTGTGAACATGTTTTCATAACTGTTAATGGGCTCTCCTTTGTAGGTCACACAAATACTCCTTCTAGAGACAATCTCTTAAACCATAGGCTGGATGTTATTGTCATGTCAGGTACCATCATAGGGAAAACACTTTTTAGTCATGTAGGGATTTGTATTTCCCTTCAAACCAACCATTTATGTTACTAACTACTCTACCCACACATAGAACTAGCATCTGTCCTTCCAAAGCAGACTAAATGTTGACTCAAAGTACTTTGCGTTCTGAACTCATAAAAGCCTGAATTATAAAATATTTTAAAAGAAATGCATTTTTCATTGCTCTGAAGTACAAGCAAAAACATAGCAAAATAAAAAAAAAAGTAACAAACAATTCCTAGTAGAGATTTTGCTAGGATTGGTTTAGTAAATAAATAAAACATTTGTAATTAGCCATCAATTGTATCCTGTCAAATTGGCTTTATGGATTCATATATCATTAGTTAAAAGGGATCATTTAGTCCAAATACCTCATTTTACAAATGAAGAAACTGATGCCTAGAAAGTTTTAATGACTTTCCCAGAGTCATCAAATTATTTAATAGCAAGATCAGAACCCAAAGATCCAGTTCTTCCATGGACCTTCTAATTCTTTTATGGTCTGAAGAACCATTCTCAGCCTGGCCTGGCAAGTCACTTAACCTCTTAACGCTCTTGGCAATCCTCTAAGACTCTCAACTGCAGAGTCCATGCTCTGGCTGCATTGATAGAAAGAGCTGGCTCACCTACGGGTTCCCCATACCAATGAAATCATGTCCCTATCCCTATTCCATTCACATCATTAATTGCCCTTGTCTTCTGGATATTGGCTTCTTTCTGATTTTTTGTGACACTATTCTCCATCAGTCTCCTCCTAAAATTCCCCCAAACTGTGGGTGTTCCCTAAGACTTTGACCTTGGTCCTCTTCTTTTTTCTCTCTAAATTCTCTGATTCTCTAGACTTTTCTAGAATTGAACTGGGATGGAACCATATAGTCCAACCACCTCATTTAAAAGATGAGGAAACTGAGGTCCATGGAGGTTAAGTGATTCGGCCAAGATCACAAAGGTCTCAGACTTAGTGACCTCATCAGCTCTCATGAGCCTCATTATTATCTCTATGCATCTGACTCACAGATTTATATAGTCTGGTTCTTATCTGAATCTTTAAACCCATGTCACCAATTGCCTATTGAACATTTCAAATTGGAAAATTCTGGATATACTTCAAACTCAACATGTGCAAAAACCACAATCCATTATGAATAATCTTTTCCCAAAAGCCTTTCTTCCAAATTTCTCTATTTTCTCTTCCAGTCTCCCAGGATTGTAACCTTGGCATTACCCTAGGTTACTCACTCTCTGTCACCCCATATATCCAATTAGTTTCCAAATCTTGCCATTTCTATCTCTAAAATACCTATTGCATCTGACCCCTTCTCTTTATTCACACAACTACCACCTTAGTTCATTCAGGCCATCATCGCTCCTGGCCCAGATTATTGCAACAACCTCTTAATTGGTATCCCTTGCTAAGTCCCTTTCCATTCCAGTCCATCTTCTACACCGCTGCCAAAATGATGTTCTGTAAGCACAAATATGACCATGCCACAATAAACTCCATTGGCCCACCAATGCCTCTAAGATAAAATTTTGTTTAGTTTTAAAACCCTTTGTCTTGCCAGGCTCACTGGATATGGCTCCCCCCACCCTAAATACTCCCCTTTCCACATTCTTCAGTCTAGCCCAGGGGTGGGGAACCTGTGGCCTCGAAGTCACATGTGGCCCTCTAGGTCCTTGAGTGCAGCCCTTTGACTGAATCCAAACTTCACTGGCCAAACTGGCCTTCTCTCTGTTTCTCACACAAGATGCCCCATGTCTCATTTCTGCGCCTTTGCCGTAACTGTCTCCCATGCATGGAACACGCTCCATACCTCGGCTTCAGAGAATACCACTTTTCCTTCAAGCTTCAGCTCAAACACCGCCTTCTGCATGAAGTGTTTCCTGATCTCCCCAAGTACTAGTGTCTTCCTTCCCAAACTACTTTGCATTTAACTAATTTGCATTTATTTTTATTTATTAATTTTAAAAAACTTATGCCACATATACTTAAAAATGTTCTTGGTATCTCCCCATTCAAATATAAGCTCTTTGAGAGGAAATGTGGCATTCTTTGTACTTACAATCTCAGGGTCTGGAACAGTACCTAGTATATACTTAATGTTTGTTGACTGAATAATTTCTTGGTTAATTCATTTTATTATATTATGCCTTTATAAATGAAAAAAATAGTTTGCTTCTTTCTGTAGGTTATGAATGTCCCCTGTCATCTTACTTGTACCCTGGATTTTATTTGATAAACACTTTTCTTTTAACCATAGAAAATGGAAAATAAAACTTTGGAGCTGCTCCATAAACAATAGGAGAAAAATCTATCATCATCACCACCCCCCTCACTACTAATTCCTAATTAGCAAGATTGTCTTCAGTTCAAGACAGGGGCTCCACTGCCCGGCCTCCAGACTGTTTCTGGGAAAGGGATCTTTTAACACTATACAATCAGAACCTGAACTCAGTTCCAGATTTCCGTACATCCCCAGCATACCTAGCTCTGCCATCAACCAGCTATGTGTCTGGCCATGGTCAAGTCATTTAATCTCTTTGAGCCTTACTATCCTCATCTATGAAATAGGGATAATAATATAATAATGCTACTCCATAGCATTGTTGTGAAGATCTGATAATGGACATTAAAGTGCTTTACAAAGCTTACGTAGATACTGATCTATTTATTTGTTTGTAAAAATTCAGATTTTTATTGGAAAAGGGGCATTTTCTGCTCCCCTGGAGGTCCACTTGCAGCAAATCAGAAGTGTAGATGCCAAGTGTAGACTTGGCATCAGAAGACCTGGGGTCTGAGTCCTGACTCTGCCATTTCCAAGTTGTGTGACTTTCTATAAATCTACCCATAGTCTCAATTTCCTTATCTGTAAAATAGGGATCATAATACTTACCCTACCTACCTAAAGGATCATTGAAAATCGAATGAGATAGTACATGTAAAGTGCTTTGTAACCACAAGGCACAATATAAAAGTATCATTATTATTATTAACGATGATAAAAGCAATAACAATGGCTGGCCTTTATAATGAAATCAGTACTCAAGATGATGTGATTTAGGACAGTAAAACCAGGACTAAATTTCATCTTTGGTTGCATTCTGACCTGTGATGCCAACAGTGATACAGTGGGTGATGTGTAAGGAAGAGTTAGGTCCAAGCCAACAGGGCTTAGAGTTCAAAAGCTGGCACTGCCAGAGGGGAAGACGCACAGGTGATGGAGGTAGGTGAAGAGATGCTCGCTCTCCGCTACTGCTGCAGCCACTGAACAACGAGGAATCACTTCACAGACTGCTTATTCAGATGAGGCTGGTATCAGCGCTAGAAACTCACTGGGTTATTGTGAAGATCAAATATCAATCCTTTGGTTTTTAAACCTGACCCCTTCCCACCTCAGCAGTCTCATTCTTTACGCTTCCGCCTATGTGATGCTCTCCCCTCCCTTTCACCTCTGGCTCCCGGCTTCCCTGGTCTCCTTTAAGACTTAGCTCAGATCGTGCCTTCAGCATGAGGCCTTTCCTGGTCCCCTTGGCTGCTAGTGGCTTCCTTCTGATAGTACTTTCCACCTTCACTGTATATTATCTTGTATGTACAATGTTTTGTATGTAGTCTCTCTCATTGGAATATATGCTCCTTCAGGGCAGGGATGTGTTTTTGCCTTTCTACTGACCTCCCTGACTTCAAGTCCCAACTAAAATTCTACCTTCTATTGGAAGCCTTCCCTAATCCCTCTTAATTCCAGTGCATGGCC